GTAATGACGTTAAACACTAGAATTCAGCAGCTTATAGCTGATTTGATAAATGATCCATGTAAACAATCAGGACATTAATTTATTTATTTACTTCACCTGTGACCATGTGATATGATGTAGTTTCTTGGGGTTTATTTTTAATTAATACTTTATCTCACAGTATTCCAGCTGTAGACTCGGGGATCAGAACAAATAATTGTAATTATAGTGATGACCATCTACATCAAGACATCAGCATTCTAGTCGCAGCGCAGCCATTGCTAGTGTTTTCAACATGTCCACTGTGATAAAAATCGTGATAATAATTATAATCATTATTATTATTATTATAGTATGCTGAGAAGGAGCGAGAGCAGTGAGTGAAGATTTGTGACACGTAATGAGAGCTCTAGGTGACCATGATGCATCCCATAGTTGGTACGCTTAAAGTAAAAGGGAAGTGTAAATGCCGGTTTGTTACGTGTAAATCAAAACCACGAAGTGTCTGTCATTAAAGCATTGATGACTGATTTTCCTTTTTTCTGGAGGGGGGGGGGAGGAGGCTTTCTTTTCTTTCTTTCCTTTTTTGTGCAAAGTATGTTTCTTTACATCGGGAAAATTCTTTCGGAGAAGAAAGGGTCACCTTTTTTCGCAGAAAAAGCACGTTAGCGATTTTTTTAAAATTTCAGTTACGACGTCGCTTACTCTTAGGAAGCGAAGTAAACAAAGTCAGTTCCAACCGATATGAGCTGTTATTTTGACAAAATTGACTCTTGTAGTTGGGTGTCAAAGCTTTCCATGTGCAGCACTTTGAGCACTGGGATAGCTTTTGTCTGGCCGTTTTTTCTCGGCAGATTCAAATTACATAAATTTAGCAGACGTTCCTTCGAACCCTAGAAACGGTTTAAAGGAGCAATATTGTTTCACTAATCAGTCATCAGTAAGCTAACTTTCTATTTTGAATTCACGATTTCTACGCTTCCTTTTCACGTTAATGTGTCCATGCAGAGTAGCCTAATGTTTGCTTTCAGTATTGTCACAGCGCTGCATGAGACTGTCGGCAGTGGACTGGTGTGTTGTACTTTTATGACGAGCCCGCCAAGAACTGGACAGCAATGTCTAGATGTATGAGCGAGTGCTTTGATAAGCCTTTTTCGTATTGTAATATATTTATATATATAAATAATTAAAATATTATATTTTAGGATATTATTTAATTTACATTTGCTTCTTAGGCTCCGGACGTCGGAACGTAATCAGAGTTGCCAAAAATATTGTTGATTATGGTCAACTCATACAAGTTACTTTTTCTCGTTATCACCGTATCATAAGTTGTGCTATTGGTGTGTTGGTGTTAAAAATAACGAAGTCAAATAATCCAGTTAAAGTGGTGAATTTTGGGGCTCAGTAATTTTTTTTTGAGAGTTGCCTTGCTTCAAACTTTGTTCCCGAATCATATTAATCGACAGCTTATCACGATTTCTTTCCCTTCCCTCATTTCCCTTGGAATCTGCGAGTTAGTGGGGGATCCAGTTGGGAACTCATTCTAGTCTTACTCTTAGACTTGAGTTATAATATTATTATTATCCTAGACCGAGCACTGTCATGGCCGACCCTCTTTGCTCAACACAAAAACTTCGCTGCGCTAATGCGACTATGAGCGCGCAAATGAAGGACAAAATACCACTTTCGCTATAGTCTAGTACATCCGCAACCTTTCCTTCCTTTCTCCTTGCCCTTCATTCACTTCCAGATAGAGTCAAATCGTGTGACCCTTGGCAAACCGGAATTGCGTCAGAGTGCATAGTCTCGGATATTATAATACAAGTCTGTGGTCTTGCCACGCCCGATGCTGTAGTTTTCATCGCCATTCTTTACTATTTCCTCACCGTACAACAGGCGCCTGTTGGCTCCGAGGGTCCTTATTACGTAGAACAAACAGGCCACTGGACCGACCCTCATGTGAGTCACTTACGAAGTAGCTTTCCTCCAAACTCTAACGCTTTTCCATATTATTCATACCTGCACATTAAATAATACATATTTATTTCGTTTTCGAACCAAGTCAAGAAAGAGAAATGGGAGAAATTGGATTTTTAACTTGTCTGCTTTAATGACTGGATGTGTAAGATATACGACCGTTGCAGCATTTTCAGAGCTTTTCTTTTTTCTTCAAAGATAATCTAGTTGATGCGAGACTTTAATTTTATTTTCACACTGCAACACTCAACTTGCCAACCCTCTTCCAAAACAACGGTGATTGTAATTTTGATTTGGCCGTATTGTATGTTACCTTGTTTCATTTTGCAAATGAATTGTGTTTCTTCCGAGAAGATTGTTATGTGCCAACAACATTGCAAGGCATGGTTCCCTTGGTCGGAATTTTATGTCATCTTTATTTTCCTCTCGGCCAAAAGCCTCGAGTCGTATGCAATCATACACTGAACAAACGACGGTCAGCACAAAGAAACAAGCTATTCCCTTATTCTGTTGTTACTTGTTTTTAGAGGGTTTTTTCTTACTTGTCTCGAAGGATGCTTCTTCTATGATATTGTTATGTGTGTTGTGTTGCCATCGTTATGTTTGTCATTTTTATTATTTTCATTATTATGTTTATTACAATCATTCATATCATTATCGTAATTACCATTATTATTATTATTTTTATTATTATTGTTATGATTATAATTATGATGATGATGATGATGATTATTATTATTAGTTTTGTTATTGTGTTGTTGTTGTTGTTGTTGTTGAGGATGACGATGACGATGATTCTGATGATGATGATGATGATGATGCTGATGATGATGATGATGATGATGATGATGGTGATGATGATGATGATGATGATGATGATGATGAATCTATAGATTTAAAACTATTGTTTAGTAAAATTGTTGACAAATTTGTTTTGCTATTTTTGTTTTTGGTCAGTATTGCAGGTAACATTGCAAGCTGTTTTTGGTTTTTTTTAAATCTCTTTCGAACTCAAGCAGCTCGCTCTGCTTAAAAAAAGCATTCAGTTTGTACATGCCGATTTGAACGCAGCTTATCAACAAAGGTAGAAGTTTGGATAAGTAAGGTTTTGGGATGGTTTTTCCCCCCTTATTTCTTAATTCGATATTGTGTTTACTTTTCACTAAATACAGTGGCGTTGTAGGGCCAGAGCGCCGAACAATGCTAGTTCAAGATAGGCAGACAGTGCAGTTTTTGTTGTTGTTTTTTTTGTTTTGTTTAATTTAATTTATTCGTTTGTTTTGTTTTGTTTTATTTATTTGTTTTGTTTTGTTTTTAGTTTTAGAAAAAAAAGTTGCTGTATTTTAATGACTGGCTAAGAGAAAAAGGCAATGCTTCTTAAAGTAGGTTTTGTTTCAAAATCCATTTAACCCCCCTACTCCTCGCAGTGATAAATTGGAGATTGCTGTTGACACATTTCAGCTAGGAAATCTCTACCAACGGTGTTGTTACCATGGCAACCATAATGTAATTGTCAGACGACCGAAACTTTGTCGGGAGCGCAAAGCTAAAAACAAAAATATAAGAACTTTATGGAAAGCCAAATGTCCGCTATTTGACAAATTTCATAGGATTTGATAAATTGGTCGAGTAGCTGAAAATTTCCTTGTTCAACATGTCTACGGTTTTATAAGTTGTGATATCAGTGCTCCTTAGTACATTAGGTAGGCTCTCTAGTGAATCAATATCTAGATGCGTGTACCCTGGAAACTCTCCCATGGTGCAAAAATGTCTTCGGTACTATAAACAGAGGCCTATTCAAAAGTACCGTATCCTAGATAGGCTCACAGGTTAACCAATTTGCCATGGGGCAACATGTCTGTTATAAGCGGAGCACAAAGAGAACGCTTGCTCGCGATAAAAGCGAGTGCGTTGGGACACGCGCGTGAAATGTTACTTAAATGTTGCTTGTTGCGCACAAAAAGCACGCTCGCTTTATGGCGCCTGAGATTTCAAGTGTTTAAAAAACCTGCAATTTAGAACAAGAGAAGGAAAGACCACGCAAACTGCAATGTTGTGAATCGTGTTTGGAAAGATATTAGCGAAGAACTGGAACATGATGGTCTCTTGGCTCATTCTCAGGTAGGACTGAAAACGAGAAGGGCTTCTTTTAAGTAAAGGAAACAAGTGATGATATTCACCTTCCACTCGCCTCCTTTTATTTATCTCATGAACCCCCATTCTTTGGAGTTTTCCTAGGATACTTTTCGGCAAAACACTGTCTAGCAACAACAGTTCGTCTTCACCCGAATCAGCCACGGCGCCAAATGCCTTTCTGACCAGTCGCAAGCGCGATTTGCAATCTTTCTCTGTGTACACCTCAACGACAAGCAAGCG